CCATGAACTCTTTATTAAGATACTACCACTACGTGTGGTTTGTCGTAAAAAGTAAATTGAAGGAAAATTATATTCGGATGACGCACACCTGAGTCATATTAATTCTACAATGAAGTGTGCAATGATTATGGAGGAGGATTTTACGACTCTTAATATTTATTGGTCATGCTATATGAATGGGAAACAGCGTGTGTTCATGTAATATGCTACTGTCCAATTGTTGGGCGCCAAGCCTTAATGGCTGAATTATTTTCTTTATGTAGATGTATAATACAAGTTAAAACATCTACGTTGAACGCGTACTATTATGATCCGAATGGTGAGAAAGTAGTTATTAATAACTTCTCAAATTATCCACCTTTAATAATTCTATTATTCCCTCGATAAAAGTTATTCTTGATTTATCTTACGTCTATCCTTAATTTTTATGACATGCTTAGAAATATAATTTCTTACCTTGTGTCCGGCTAGTTTGATCGTTTGTTGTAAAAAGAATATAAATAAAAAGAGAGCACTGACTTTTATCTACTTATTAATTTTTGTAAAATTATGCAAATTATTAAACTTGAAATATTACTTCACTGTAGTTCGTTTTTATACTTGGTGTCTGAGTATATGTGTTACTTTATATTTTAAAATAAAAATTTATATAACCAGATAGCTTATGAGAACCAATCCCTAGTGACATGTCATAAACTATTGTTTTACGAATAGTTTTAACCGCTTGATATGCTAGGGTAATGACTTCAATAAACTATTAGTATTTTATGGAATTGTGTATTTGATATGAGAGTCGACAGAGTTATAGACAGGCTGGCTACACCATCGGAGATATACTCGTCGATGCACGGACCTTACAGAGTCTAGAACTACTTGCCGAAAAGAGCGTGACAGAATATGAGAATCAATCCCTAGTGACACGTCATAAACTATTGTTTTACCAACAGTTTTAACCACTTGATGTGCTAGGGTAATGATTTCAACAAACCATCAGCACCTTGTGCAATCAATCAAACACTTATCTATTCAAATTTAAGATACACTCTACGATCTCCTTAGTGACATGCCATAAACCATTGTTTTACCAACAGTTTTAGCCACTTGATGTGCTAAGGTAGATTTTCGAAATGCACTTATTAAATAGACAATCCAATTGAAGAATTAAAAAAAATTCTTAATTGAAACAACTCACAAAATACAAAATAAAAAAATTCAATTTGTTTTAATATTTTATAAATATATAAAACTAAAAATAAAAAGATAAGTTATTTTTTTTTTTAAAAAAATTACATTAATTATGAGAGATTTTGATAAAAACACCAAGTGTAAAAAGATTCTAAGTCATAGAGAGAGCACAAACGCGAAACAGTCTGGTGCAGAAACGCTTCATGACCAGATTTTTTAGAAAAAAATAAGGTGACGAATGAGCTAGAAATTGCTCTTTTATAGGCCTGTTTTATGAGGGGGAGAATTAGTTTAATTAGCACAATGCTTCTCATTGGCTAGGTAATTAATTTAGAGAGATCTATGCGCAATCTATTGTTCTACTAATTTGCGTTAATATTTCATATATGTATTGGTGTTTTTATATCTATCATCTCTCATTATAATGCGGTTTATTAAAAAAATATCATTATTATAAAAATATAAATAAAATAAAATCATAAGTGCTAAATATCTATTACACAGTGATTAAAATCACTATAAAAAAAAAAACGCTTCGATGCAAAACTTTTAATAGTGTTTAATTTTAAAAAATTGATGGATTATTCCAAAAGCTACATGATCTGCTATTTCCTTATCAATATCTTAATTAAGATAAATTATGTCGAATGACAAAGGAATTACTTAAAAATATTACTTCTCATAAAAAAATTGTATTGATCCATACATTTTTTAAAAAGTTTAAAAATTATAATAATAATTCGCTTAATTATTATAAAAAAAATCAATTGTATATTATAAATTTTTAATACATCATCGCCTTAAAAAAATATTCTAACCAGCTTCTTTTGATAAATTAAAAAGTATTTTTTAATCTATCAACCATGGGTATTTTTATATTTTTCTCTAATATTTTATAAAAGTGTCAACTTTAGTTTTTAAAATGAAAAGATTTATAATTAAATTAACTTGCTTCTCTTTTTTTTTTGTTTTGCACAAGGCAGCTAGACCGTATGACTTGCACTAGAATGCCGTTTTACCTTAAGCCTGTTTAAATCGCTATTTTTTGAAGCGTGAGAAGGGTCCACTGTCAGGATCACGACTAACCGCACATCCAATAAATGACGAGAATAGACAATCAAATAACAAATAAGCACATATATTAAAGGTTCTGCAATGAATTTTCTTAATCTTAAATTTAAGGGATAGCCTTAAATACTAATGGCGGCCGATCGGCATAAATAAAATAGTTGAACTTATTTAAAACAAATAATAAGTAACATTAAAAAGTAATATAAAAACTCAGCTGAATAGATTAAGTCGTTGATAGTGATGAGTGGACTGTATGAGATCTTGTGGTGTTGGTGTCGAACATCTGAGTATCACGAGTCATAGTGTAAATGCAGGCACGTAATAGACGACGAAATAGCGACTACGGCAATGAAGTTATTGAATGATGGTCAGGGCCCAATCACATGTGGCGTGCAAAGGCACGAGAACTTTGAGCACAAGTGTACAACAAACAAATAATAAAATATCGGCTTACAATAGCCTAACAATTTACAATACAAGCGAAGGCGTTTGCTACGAATAAGAATAACGCATAAAACAATTGACTCACTGACTTACGACGATGAACTGTACACGAATTAAAATGTACACATAAACCATCGATTTACCGTGCTGGATGGGCAAGCGGGCAAGTAAAGCAAAGACGCTAGAGATCTGCTACCACACGATATAATATAATTAACGGTATTTGTGCACAACTGGTTTTTTTTCTACAACCGACATTATTGTGGGCTGCCCTGGAACTGCTGTTAGGCATTACTTCAGAGCACACCGGCTCTATAATTAACACCACCACGTTGTGAATCAGCCCGAAGTTAATAAAGGGCTAATATACAACGTGGTTTGCCCTCCGCTCGTTATATTGGGAGGGTTGGTAAAATAACTTACAACACAAACACAAATAACGCAGAAACAAGCACCTAAGGTATCCGCCTAAACCAGTGCCTCAGGTCCTCCTTTGTCGGACAACGTGGCTGCCTCTGTCTCAGGTGTTTTTCTTCCTCCTTCTTTCTCAAGACAGCTGGATGAGCTTCCACGCCTTACGGCACCCCAACATCAGGTCCACCATGGAACCAACTCGGAACGCGTACCTAAGTCAGGATTCCAAAGAGTCGCACCTCACACCGGAAGTGCGTGTGCAGAGTACTGTCTGCCTCTTCCGAGCAATCTGAACAGTGTGTGATGATGTCACGTTACCATTATTGTGAGAATTATTTTAATAAAATACAGACAGCACATCCGCTTCCTGAGACTGATGAATTAACAAATAATATTTATTGCCAAATTGGCAATAGTTCTAATTATTATAAAAACCCAAAAGACCTGACCAACTTGGTCAGTCGACTCCAGTGCCTTGTGTCATTCATCAGTCTCAGTACTCGGTTGTCGCTGTCCGGCTTACTGCTTAAAGTAAAGTCTTTGTTTTTTCCTTTTTAACCTATCTACTCTCTTCCACAACATTTCAGAGTACTTGTGTCTTGCACTTCGTCTGCACCTCATACTCGGCTACCCCGTTCTCTCTTTGAAGTACTTGTGTCTTGCACCTCGTACTTAATTATCCTCCTAATAACCAAAGTACTTGTGTCTTGTACTTCGTCTGCACCTCGTACTTTGTTATACTCCTTATCTGGTACGCCCAGTATTTGTGTATTGCACTTCGTCTGCACCTCATACTCGGCTACCCCGTGCTCTCTTTGAAATACTTGTGTCTTGCACTTCGTCTGCACTTTATACTTCGTCTGCACTTCATACTTCGTTATCTTCTCCTATACCCAAAGTATTTGTGTCTCGTACTTCGTCTGCACTTCATACTTTGGACTCCTTTTGTGTACACGTGGTATTTGTGTCTTGCACTT